GGCGCTCCTTCTTCCTTGGCTGAAGAAGGGCCGAGGGAGGAGGCGCGGGCGAAGCGGCGTCTTCTTCCCTGGCGAGAGCTAGCCGAGTCCGCAGAGAGGAGATGGGCATGCTCTCACAGGCCGCACATCCGCCAGAGGAGAAGGCCTTCTCCGCGTGGTCGAGTCCCAGGCATGAAATGCATTTCGCATGGTGATCGGCCTCATGCAGCTTGCGTGCGCACGTGGCGCAGTTCGAAACACGAGGCATTTGAAACAACGCCTCGCGTGTAGCAATAGCAAAGATATCGCCAGATAGCCACAGGTGAGACGGCGTCAGGAGACAAACGCCTGAAGAAGACGTAATCTGCTGAATAATGCTCGCTCAGGCTGAAGGGCTTCTTCGATGGCGAAGGCTTAGTAAAACAGACAGAGACGTGTAGTTTGTCGCTGAAGGAGTAAAATCTGCTATAATGGCGAATTCAGGGGCTTATATATGCTAGGCCTCGCCCCTATGACGGGCTCTGACGTGTAATGACGTAGAGTGATCTCATTGGTTGCACGTCAGAGGCGCCCGCGCCATTGAGTGTGCAGTTGCTGCAGCACAGCCTATGAGCGAGCGAGCGAGACGCTCAATGTGCTAGCTATGCAGCTGCAAATGCATTTTACATAGAGGTTCAGTAAATCGAGGAAAAGGAGTTTTCCCACTGCGTATAGCTACGCAATACGAAGTGACCGTTCGAAAGGGAACAGTGAAATATTACTCAACATATCTGTCACAATCCTCAGTCACCTCAGCACACTACATTTCCCATAATCCCTCCTGGCTCACACTTGCACACACTCACCTGATCATCACATGTTGAAGATTTTATTATTTAAAAAAGAAGTAATTTAGCTATAAATTTGTACACTATTATTTAATCTATGTGAATCTTTGGTTTGACTTTTGGAAGCCTGAAGAAAGGCAAGGAATGTTGCCATTCTATTCTGAGAAGTCACATGATACAAGACCTTTACCCAAAATATCTATAGGGTGTGTTACCATCTTTGGAAAAGGATCTATCCTATATACAGGTCCTTCTCAAAAAATTTGCATATTATGATAAAGTTCATTATTTTCCATAATGTAATGATAAAAATTAAACTTTCATATATTTTAGATTCATTGCACACCAACTGAAATATTTCAGGTCTTTTATTGTTTTAATACTGATGATTTTGGCATACAGCTCATGAATAAGCATATTTCATCCGACCAATAAAAGAAGTGTTTTTAATACAAAAAAAAAGTCAACCTTCAAATAAGTATGTTCAGTTATGCACTCAATAGTCAATACTGAAAAAGATTTTTTTTTTTTCATGTTCCAAAGGTTGGAATATTGCATTTTTCACCTGTAGTAAGTCACCAAAAACCCTTTTGAAACTTTGCGCGTCACGTTATATAACTTATAGGCTCTTGTCTGTAGGCTATATATTTTTCCTCCCATAGAGCCTATTATTATAAAGAAAAAGCTTAACGTCAATGCAGTAAGACGGTGATATTAAAACTCAGTAGCCTATAGCTACACCTTATTAAACATGCAACTCACTATATTGCACGTTAAGCATTTTATATTGGTTTTCCATGGGTGTTGTTCATAATCTGATTTAATCTGTTTGCCTATACAAAGTATACTTTATTAATAAGGTAGGCCTACATTGTGTACTAAATGTGGTGCTTCGATATCACTCACATTAAGCGTAAATGGGGAAGATCGCTCGATTACGCGGCCGTTGTCTGTTTTAGCAGAATACTGCCATCTAGTGGTAGCAGGTTTTCTCAGACAGTGTGTGTGGATCGTGCAAGGCGAAACCGGCGAAATGAAAGTCTCAAAATCCAAATGAATCAAATAGGATCGACTCAGAAACGAGTCAATGAATGCACGTGTCAAATCATCCACAAATGCACATCTTACTTGTTGCATGCACAAATTCTGGCCTACATTAATACAAAATCGAGGTTTTGTATTAACAACTATGTGTCTATTTGTACAAAATGCTGCACATTCATGTGATTCTGGATTTTGCACACACAAGTTGTATTATTAGTTTAAATGTAGTGACGCACATTTGGGAATTTGTCAAATAGATGGGTAGTTGTGCACACATTAATAACTAGCACCAGGCCTATTCATTTGTAGTTGTTTGTGTGTGGGTCGTGAAGTGCTTAAAAACAGTGAAAAGAAAGTCTTAAAATCCAAATGAATCAAATGAGATTGACTCAGAAAAGATGTCAATGAATGGATGCGTGTCACCTGATCCACACATGCACATCTTTGTTGCATGAGCAAATTATGATACACTAATACAAAAGAAAACATTTGTATTCACAAAAATGTCTCTATTTGTACAAATTGCAACACATTCATTCAATTTTGAATTTTGCACATGCAAGTTGGTTGTGGATAGTAAAACATTTCTGCAACATTAATCAGGTTCATTGATATCTGTGCTTGCACGTGTTAATCATTTTGATACTATATTCACCCCATAAAAAAAAGGTGAGAAGGATATACACATATCCTTACATTCATAATTAGTCTTGTACTAATTTCTACACTTGAAAGAGTATATTTCTATACTTGTGATTGGGCCAGCCCAGTGTCAATCAAGAAAACATCAATGAGCCGCTGATCTACGTGTTTCATGAAGTGTCAGAAAAAAACCTAACGCTGAGTTTTTGTTTTTTTGACCAATGCACAATAATGCGTTACATCGGCACTAAACCAGCGCCGTCAATTAAGCAAAACAAAACGAATGGGCGGTCGATGTACGAGTTATATGGGCCGTTAAGACAAAAAAAACAAAACAAAAAAGTATGAGATGTATCGGCCCAAAAAGCACGTCGGCTCACCGGGAATCTCCCGGTAGTCCCGATGGCATTAGCATGCCTGGATATCACACTTTAAATCCTACCTGTTGCCTTGGCTTTCACCATGCACTTATTTAGCTGCTGTCGCATCAATTGACATGCCATCTCCTTTCCCCTCTATCTTTTTCTATTTTTAGCCCCTGACAACAGCTTTTTTGCTTTATCCATCTTTTTCGACGACAACTCACTAACTTTACTCGTTCCTGCTCGCTCTGCACTAACGGCGCCCGCTCGCCATATTACAATACCGCTCGTTTTATAACATTGAGGAAATGCAGAAACGATTTAGAAACACGTTCAGCTACATATAGAAAATACCCAAACATTTTTTTATCTAAAATTCGTCAAAATCACTGTCTGTATCTAACAGGACAGTTAACATTGTAAGCTAACTTACCTCAGGCTAATTCTGGCTCGGATTGGCTGTCAGGTATCGGCATTGGGAATGATGATTGTTGTTTTGTTTTTTTAAAGCTGCGAAGTCTATAGAGATAAAGCGGGTAAATGCTGGCCACGGCACCCCGTGTGTTTTATTAGTGCTAATAAAATTATTAAGCCTATTTGGAGAGAGAGAGATGTTTATAATGTGATAGTCATTTTAACAGCACAATGATTTGACTTTATATTTTAGTAAGATCCCTAAAATACCCCCCACCCGAATGCAGCCTTTGTCTTTGATATCAAGCTGTTTTTTTAAGTAAATGTTCATTCATAATTTGTTCGCCTGTTGCTGTTGCATCAGTCTTTGTTGCAGCACTGAATTACAGTTACACTTAAACTATGTTCTACAGTTATTTGACGTGTTTGCTAAGGTAGCTAGCTAGTACATCAATCAACCAGTGTTAGCAGCTAAATCCTGGTCGATGAGAGAAGCTAGTTGTTGTACCAGTGCTGTGTTGATAATAAAGCTAAGGTGCTACTATATGGTTATCCTCACTGACTACTAGCAACATTGAAACCCATTATAGAAGGTAATAGATGATAGAACAAAGTCTTTCTCCTACTGTAAATTACCTTAACTCTGTGTGTGTGTGTGTGTGTGTGTGTTAGCCAGCCAGCCAGCCAACCATCATGGCAGAAAAAAGAAAGACAGACATCAGGACATTTTCAGTGCGCTGAAACGCAAATAACCCTATAGTCTAGTATCTCAAAGAAGTAGGCCTACATTGAAAATAAAAAATGTCCACAAGTAATTATGATGCAACGATGACACACCTAACTGGAGTTTTTTTTTTAGTTAGAAGTTAAATGGTAAAGTTACAAAACCTGTATCTTTGAAATTGCAAACTATTCTTTTGTCTTTGCACACATTCACAGGTTTAATGGATGTCTGATTACAGCAATCAGCCCTCATCAACGTTCTATCAGCTTCTCTCTGAACTGAAGCATTTACAGTTTAACGGTGCTGTAAATATAGAGCTTATTCCTGATGATAACACCACTTTTGAGAAGATTTAGACCAGTAGATCTCAACCTTTTTGACTTCACTCACAATTTCTACTTGATAAAACACGTTAGAGCTAGAATAACTAGAAATATGTATATTTGTTATCTTGATTTTTAGTTGTTTTTGGCTTATTTTCATGCTTGTTTTGTGTATTTTGCGTAATCACCTTGGACGAGAACCGCTGATTTAGACTAAAATACCATGAAGAAATAAGTAGGCTACTGGTAACATAATATAGGAGGCAAACACAACACTCATTTGATGTTTGTCATTATTTACCGTCTGGATGATGTTCTGTTGCAAGAAAGTTTTTTTAAAATAAATCTCACAACATTTGATTTAATGAATCTGGTAAACCTTCATGTAAAGGCAACACAAAAATCAGATAGATGAGTTAGAAATTAGTTTCTGAATGACTATTTGAGCAAACATTTGCACCTGGATAATTGAGAGTGATTGTAAATGTGATGATCATCTGCTAAATGAGCAACAACGACCACAATTCACTCGTTCAGTCAGCGAAGCCGTTCACACAGCCGTTCATGAGAGTTTAAATGCTGGGAATATTCCCATCTTCCCCACAGGAGAAGAAGCAGCAGGCAGAGAAACACAGGAGACAGAAGAAGCAGCAAGCAGAGAAACGACTGATATACTATTGTAAAGATGGAGTTTGAGGAGGAACCCTGCAGACTGAGAGATGAAGAAACAGAGGAACAAACAGGTCTGTGTTTTCCTTCATTCTCTTTAATGACTGATGAGGAACATTAAGATGAAAACTAGGGATGCACGGTATATCAGCCACCATATCGGTATCGGACGATATATGTTTATATTTAATGGTATTGTTATTATTAAAGCCGATAAATAAAGTATTATTAGCTGAGACACTTCAGATGCGCACAGTTCAACATGATGGTTTTGAATTGATTGGAATCACTTCAAAAGAAGGAAACTATTGTAAAGTGCAACAAGTCTGTCATATCAGCTACATACAAATATAATGAGAACATTATAACTGTGTGATCGGGACAAGGATTTTAATGATGAGACATTTGTTTTTGTAATCAGGCTCTCAAAAGATATAGCAAAATATGGATTTAGATTTATCGGCCAATATATCGGTTATCGGCTTTCAAATATAAAGAATTATCGGTTGTCGGCCAAAATGTTCATATCGGTGCATCCCTATAATGAAAACTGACATATAACAATACATCTAAAACTAGATACTACCCAGACAGCAACATAGTCTCGGCCCACATCCGGTACATGTGGGTTCAACACATACCGGGTCTGGGCCGACACTATGTTGAACTTAATTTTTTATGTTCCTCATTTACCTTTCTTTAATTTAACTATGGGAATTTATTGTGTTGATTTTAGACCTGACGGAAGTGAATGAAGACAAACGGCATCGGTTTCAAAAACCCCATCATTTCACAAATGAAGATGGAAACGCAGTCGTTTCACAGACGGAAAAGAATTTCACACAGAAACAAGCTGTAAAAACTGGATCTTTCTCCTGCTCTGAGTGTGGAAAGAGTTTCACAACTGAAGGAAACCTTAAAGTGCACATGAAAAATCACATGAGAGAAAAACCCTTCACATGCACTCAGTGTGGAAAGAGTTTCATCCATAAATCAAAACTCAAAAGACACATGGTAATTCACACTGGAGAAAGACCGTTCTCATGCACTCAGTGTGGAAACAGTTTCGCTTACAAAGCAAGGCTAAAGGATCACATGAGAATTCACACTGGAGAAAGACCGTTCTCATGCACTCAGTGTGGAAACAGTTTCAGGTGTAGACCGGCCTTGGCCGATCATATGCGCACTCACTCCGATGTGAAGTCCTTCAGCTGTGATCAGTGCCAGATGACATTTGTTCAATCATCAAGCTTAAGAAAGCACCTTAACATCCATGCAGCTGTCAAGCCTCACTTTTGTTCTTCATGTGGAAAGAGTTTTACACATCTGCAGAATTTACAAGTGCACCTGCGTATTCACACTGGTGAGAGAGCTTACATGTGCTTTGACTGTGGGAAGACCTTCATTACACCGGGCACCTTAAGATTACATGAGAGAGTTCACACTGGAGAGAGACCATACAAGTGCTCACACTGTGACAAGAGTTACACTAACTCGGTATACCTGAAAGATCACGAGAGAGTTCATACCGGAGAGAAGCCGCCCCAGTGCTCTGCATGTGGGAAGAGTTTCGCCAACTTCCGTAATCTAATAAGACATAAGAAACAGCATTGCCACAAGTTATCTAAGTGAGCAAAGTTTCACATTCAGATCCATGACTTAGAGAGCAACATGGTGTCGGCCCACATCCGGTACGCATTGAATCCACATGTACCAGATGTGGGCCAGATCTGGGCCGACACTATGTTACTGTCTGGGAAATAATTCAATATTCAGATTAAGCAAACCCTGGTAAAAAAAAAAAAAAAAAAGCAAAGTAAACTTGCAGCCAGACTAATTCAGTATATTTCAGGTGTTAATGATTTGTTAACTTGTGATATTTTGGAACAACTAATTTTAAACATATATATTTTAGTTGTGATTAAATTGTAGTAAAGCATAACTTTTAGTGTATTAAAGTGTATTAAAACATTTCTGAAATGCATAACTTAGACAGCTTCCTCTGATAACAGATCACTCTAAATTGTAATTTGGACCTATGCATTTTCTGTAAAGCTGCTTTGAAACAATGTGTATTGTGAAAGCGCTACTCAAATAAATATAAATTGAATGGTATTTAGTGTACTTTTGTGTGCTAAATTGGAACAACTTCAAGTATACTTAGTATACTTTAAGTATATGCTACGGTGGCCCAGTAGTGCACAACACAACAACATTTAAAAAGCAAACATAAGTTCACAACACAACGAAATGAATCCACAACACAACGGAAAATGAGCCACAACACAACGGAAAATCTACAACACAACGAAATAAAGCCGCAACACAACGGAAATGCTCCCGACCACTAGAGGGCTCTCGGGCGCGATAAAGTTAGTTTTCCTTGCCATTGTTCAATAGAGTCAGTCAGCAGTCTAAATATATCAATACCACGATTAGTTTTAACAGTATGTATAGCTAACCAACCATCATTCAAAATCACCGACGTGCATTATAGCTGCATATTTATATTTTTTATATTTATAGAACGCTTTGACGCGCTACCACAGCGCATGATCCCTAAGGGAACGTCTGTCAATTCCTCCAAGTTGTTAAAACATATCATTTGTATTAATTAAAATTACAAATATCCTTCATGTATTTACAGTAAACAATTATTTTTTAGGAGATTTCTGTAAAAGTTTTTTTTTCTTTTATCATGTTTCAACGGTTGTAGTTCCTATTAACCAGACTGACTTACAACAGGTGAAATTGTGCCAATAGCTCCCTGTTTCCTCAGTAGAAATTTTTTATATATATATATATATATATAAAAACATTAGGTCTACTGTAAATCAGAAAAATATTTTTAAATGTCACAAAGCGTGTGGTTCCTATTGTGGCCAGACTGACTTATTACAGGTGGAATTGTGCCATTACTTTCCTGTAATTCTGCAATTCGCCAAAAGGTTTTTATTTGTATTTATCAAATAATATTATAATAAATTATACGTTTTAACCACTTGGTGGAATTGACAGACGTTCCCTTAGGGATCATGCGCTGTGGTAGCGCGTCCAAGCATTCTTGTGTATAAATACGCAGATATAATTCATGTAGGTTATTTTGAAGTAATATTTTATATCGATATACAATGGTTACACTTAAAACTAATCGTTGTATTGATAGTAAAGCTAATAGAACTAGATGTTTGAATCCCTTAAGTAGGAAACTCTTGACAGTAGCAGTCGGTGTGGAGTGGTGAAAAGGAGGGTAAGCTATGTCATTGGGGTCATCAGGTGGGCACCCTGCTTCATCGACGTTTCGTTGATTGAAGCCCACAACGTCTCCAGAAGGCTCAACGGTGTACCCAGCGTCCCAGGTACACCCCTCTCCATGCCATACCCTCCATATTCCTGATGGGCTCTGCATGGCAGGGGCGTCCTTCTCCCTGAGTTGGGCTTAAGCCTGACCGCATACCATCTGTCTCTACCTTGCTGCCCAGTTGGGGTCCTTGCGCTTGATCCAAAGCCAGTTACTGCTTTTTTCGGCAGCACCTGACATGGACTTGATGGCCTGTTGGAGAGAGCGACCCTTCACGCCTATTTTTCTCAGCAACCTGGTGGTAGATGTGGCAACAAATCCCCTGCATCCCACCTCTACTGGGAAGATACTGGTCTTCCAGCCGTTCTGGGATGCTTCAGCTGCCAGGTCGGAATATTTGTTTTTTTCTCTCTCATAAGCCTCTTCAACCCCATCTTCCCATGGTACTGTTAATTCCACAACATATGCCAGCTTTGTTGATGGAGACCACAGGACCATGTCTGGCCGGAGTGTTGTAGCCACTATTTCTGGGGGAAACACAAGCTTCTTATCAAGGTCCACTTCCAATTTCCAATCCCGCGCTGACTGCAGGATGCTTGCATCCTTAGGTGTTATACTATGCTCTTGATATTGGCCAGCTGGTACGAAATTTGTGAAGTTGACCTGTCTTGCCGATGTTTGTGGGAGATTGTTTGTGGTGGTTCGCTTTTGTTCCAGTATTGATGCCAGCTCTCTGAGTACTTGGTTATGCCGCCAAGTATAGCGCCCTTGGGTGAGACTTGTAGTGCACCCTGATAGAATGTGCCTTAGGGATGCAGGTACTTGACACAGGGAACAGGCGGGATCTTCTCCATACCACTCTTTCAGATTTTGGGGGGAGGGTAGCAGGTCATATGTGGCTCTGATGACAAAACTCAGCCGCGCTCCCTCCATCTGCCAGATGTCACGCCAGCTGAGCTTTTTCTTCTCCAGACCCTCCCAATTGGTCCATCTCCCTTGCTTGGCCATTGAGACGGCTTTTGCATGTCGCTCTCCCTCCTCCTGTCTCCTGACTTCTTCTACCACTAGCTGTCTCTTCTGCACTGATGTTGCTTTATGCCACAGAACAGTTTTTGGGATAAGTGCTGACTGCTTCTGATGGAGTCCACTTCCTTCCAGCTACCACCCGGGGGGCCGCTGTTCGAATGACTGCATCCTCAGATTCAGTTAGGGTCATGACGAGCCTTGCTTTGGTGCATTTGAACTCTTCCACGAGCCCTGTGATTGGTAATTCCAACTTGCCATGTCCATAAAGTCCGACGGAACTTAAACAACGTGGAATTCCAAGCCACTGCTTTAGCTGTGTGTTTATCAGCCGTTCCAACTTTTCAACCTTAGAGATGGGGATCTCATACACAGTTAACGGCCACAAGAGTCTTGGGAGTATGCCAAACTGAAAGCACCATAACTTGAGTTTTCCTGGCAACAAGGTCTTGTTGATGCGCTCCATATACATGCTGGTATCATTTTTTAGTTGTTCAAACTGCTCGGTGTCTTTGAGCTTCGCATCATACCATCTCCCCAAGCTCTTTACTGGCATTTCTGAGACAGTTGGGACAGGTGTTCCGCCGACGTGAAATCTCTGGTCTGTAACTTGGCCTTTCACTATGGAGATGCTTCTGCACTTATTGGGCTTTAACTTCATCCTCGCCCATGTTATATTTTGATGAAGTTTTTCCAGCAATCTCTTGGTGCAGGGGACAGTTGTTGTGAGTGATGTTAGATCGTCCATATAGGCTCGAATTGGTGGTAACCTCTGATTAAATTGTAGTCGTTCTCCTCCCACGACCCATTTCGAGGCTCTAATAATGATCTCCATTGCCATCGTGAAGGCCAATGGGGAGGTGGTACACCCCCCCATGATGCCTACTTCCAGTGGTTGCCAACTTGTGGTGAAGCCTGACGTTGTAATACAAAACTGTAGATCCTGGAAGTAGTGTTTCACTAAATTTGTGATTATAGTCGGCACCTGGAAGAACTCAAAGGCAGCCCACAGAATTGAATGAGGGACTGACCCATAGGCATTGGCCAGATCAAGGAACAAGACATGGAGATCTTTCCCTTCTTTCTTTGCAGTCTGAATTTGATGCCATATGATGCTGTTATGTTCCAGGCATCCCGAAAAGCCTGAAATGCCAGCCTTTTGAATTGATGTGTCAATAAAGTGGTTTTGTTTTAAATACTGTGTCAGTCGCTGTGCCAACACACTGAAAAAGATCTTGCATTCAATGTTCAGAAGGTTTATCTGGCGGAACTGTTCAATGGTCGTTGAGTTCTTTTCTTTTGGGATGAACACCCCTCCCGCTCTTCGCCAGGCTTTCGGGATGATTTGCTTTTCCCACGCCACTTTCATGTTTTTCCACAGGATTTTCAAAACATCTGGAGCGTTCTTGTAGACACTATACGGTACGCCGTTAGGGCCTGGTGCAGATGCCGATCTTGATGCCGAACTAATCGTTGTATTGATATATTTAGACTGCTGACTGACTCTATTGAACAATGGCAAGGAAAACTAACTTTATCGCGCCCGAGAGCCCTCTAGTGGTCGGGAGCATTTCCGTTGTGTTGCGGCTTTATTTCGTTGTGTTGTAGATTTTCCGTTGTGTTGTGGCTCATTTTCCGTTGTGTTGTGGATTCATTTCGTTGTGTTGTGAACTTATGTTTGCTTTTTAAGTGTCGTTGTGTTGTGCACTACTGGGCCACCGTAATATGCCTGTGTAGGGACTAATTACATGCTTGATATTAAAGTGTACTTTATTTGTGTTACAAGTACATTACAATTCATTACGAGTATCTTCAAAACATACATGCGATATATCATAAGTGTACTATATTTGAGTGAAAAGCATATGCTCAGTAATACCTTTGACTTATTCCAAATACAAATTGCACACTTTGTCTTCAATAACAAATGCACATTAATAAACAAATATTGCTTAGCCATACTTTGTACAATATACTTTAAAAATTACATCATCTTAAAGTTGTCAGGGTTCTGTCACTTCGGTCTAGTTAATTTCTTGGTTTTGTGACAGAGCTCTGACACTCCCGGTTTTGTCTCGTCTTTGTCTGGTTTCGAGCGTGCTCGAGCCGTGCACTCACTTGTCTACGTGCCTTGTAGTATAGTATATGTGCGGGGCATGGTGTTTGGATTCCGACACGTCTGTCTAGTTTGGTTTCGGTTCTGTGTCGGTATTCAGACATCCATGCTCCGCGTGTTTGTTCCCTATCGTAGGGAACTCAATACTGCGTCGTTGAAAACGACTCTTTGGGGACGCTCCCTTAGTGTCATCTGAAGTATGAATGAAACTAATCCAATCCTGATTGGTGTTACA